CAAGCCCCTTTAATCAGAGATGACAGTTTCTGGATTATTTGTACAATACTGTGTGAGCCCTAGTGTGATAGAGTGGCTAAAGCATCTGGCTGTTAACCTGAGGGTTGGCAGTTTCATGCCCCTGGTTGCTCCACAGGACAAAGACAGGGAAATTGGTGCTGTGTAAAGCCCCACATCACCCTGAAGTGAGGTTATCAATCCCGAAGGGTTGCTGTAGGTCAGGATCAACAATGGAAGTAGTTTGGGGAGTCCAGAGGACAGACCCTTTCTGCAGTAAACATTGCACTTGCAGTGTCCTGGCCTCCCTCCATCACTGCATCAGGCCTTGTGCTCCTGTCTGCTGGCAGTACTGACTGTGGTCATTGTGCACCTCCACAGCATTTCTACTCCACTGAGCTCTACCAGGCCTCACATGAGGTTGCTTTGCTTCTTGGCCTAAACTTGCCAGAATTGCTGCTGTATCCTGCTCCCTCTTCAGGCCCCTGCTGTGGGGCAGCACCAGCCACCAAGCAGTCATCTAGCATGGCCACCAGCAAATGCAGAACCCTGCCTGTCCTGTGGTTCATGGACTGTATAGACCCTGTTCCAGGAACAGCCTGCTGTCTATTGAACAGTGAGCAGCTTCCTCAGCTGCCTTCCTGAATGGAGACTCGCCTGATCATTTGCAATCACTGAGGATCCCTTGTACCCCAGCCCCAGTGACCCCATTTCCTCTGCCCTCCTTCACAACCCCAGTTCCTCACTCAGCCCTGTAAGCATCCTGCTCCTGTTCCAGCTACAAGGCCAGTGTTGGGCATAGACACACGTAACCCAAATGTGCCCAGTGCCAGGGCTTCATCTTGAGTCACAGGGGGTGGGGGGTGGGGCTATTCCTAGCTTTCCAAGAGAAGGTCGTTAATATGGCTAACAAGTACTTGATCTTTCTGTGGTTTTGACCCAGTGATCTTTGAAAATGACCCACACATGTCTAAAGTGTCATCAGGGCCGGCAGTCTGACTAGCATAGAGGTGGGCCATGGCCCCTTTCCTTCCACTGCACAAAATACAGGAAGGTTCAGTCATGTCCTTGCTTCATCCACCTCATGTCAGAGCCCAGGCCTCCTGACCTGTGTCCTCACAAGGGGGGCCAAGCATTTCTTTTCTCCGTTCATCTGATCAGCAGTGCAGACACTCTAACTGTGCTGCCACTGGGCCCAGACATTGACTCCTCTCTTGTTTCCCTCCCTCTTCTGTCTCAGAAAGCAGCCCTTGGTCATCCAGTAAGCCCTCCTGTGACTTGAAAGTCTCCAGAGCCTCCACTGTGGGCCAGCCATTGTGCACATACTCTTATATTCCTTGTAGCTTCTGGAGGAGGGAAAGGGAGAGTAGACAGCCATTCTTTCAAGAATATGTACTGAGGCTGCAAGGTCCTGGGTCCATGTGTCTCACATTGTAGCAGAGGAGACAAATAGAGACTTTGGAAAAATGTAAAGCAAGGTTGGCACAGAGACAGAAGAGGCAGGACCTCTCTGTGGAGAAAGTGTCCCTCAGCTGGGTGACAGAAAGTTTCACCATAGCCTTGGAGATGGAAAGAGGTTGGCATATGTGAAAAAGAGAACACTGGTATCCTTGCACACATTCAGATTCACTATGATTTTCCTTCCTTTGGTCAGTTTCTCCCTCTTTGTATTTTGTCCTGATTTTCTCAAGAAAATTTAAAATGGGGAGAGGAACTAAAGAGATACTAATAAGAGATACACATCAGTTGGGTGAAGAGAAAGACAGTCGACAAAGCAGGGGCAATAGCAGAGTCTCATTAAGGAAAGGAAGACAGGAACAGGTGCCTGAGGGTTACAGAGAACAAAGGCGGATGCTGTTACTTAGACAACCAGCATTATAGTAATAACACATTAATAAATGAATGGATACACAGCCCAAAGGCAAATGAATAGGTAAATAAAACTATATCCATGAACTTAAAGGTTTGGCAGATAATAGTTCTATATTCTTATATCTCTATGCATATTATACAGATATCTTTATGTAATATAAATAGATTCATAGCTTCATAGTGGTAAGGAGTTATGCTGCCACCTCAAAGACACACAGTTCAAATCTAGCAGTTGCTCCATGGGAGAAAGACAGTCTCTTCCTGTGCAGTTTTCTGCCTCTGAAAACCCACTGGGACATCAGCTATGAATCACTTCCAACTCAACACCACATAACAACAATATATAATGGCACATAACAACAATAACATACTATGACAGGTTTGGAAGGAGGAGTGGCATCCACTTCCTAAATAACATGCCTCCGGAAACTATGAACTTTGATAAATGTTGATAGTTGTAGAGGAGCTTCAGGCCTTTTGTTCATAGGGTAGCTAACTGTGAGTCATGTTCGACTCGAAGGCAATCATCAACAACAATATATGTATGTATATATATGTATATGTATACACACATATACATTTGTACATAAACAAACATATATGTACATATATATCTGCATGTGTATATATATATATATATATATATGTATATATTGTGTATGTATATAAAATAGAGCAAATGGAGCAAAATTATAAAACTCCTTAGCCATAACCAATTCAGTCACTGAGCCCTGGAGCTCAAGACCTTAGACTGAGAGACTTCAAGGTCAATTGACATAATAAGTAGTCCACCAAGACAATGGTCTACATCCTTCTTTTGTGAGCAACGAATGGGATCTTGAAAGCTTGTAACTGGCCATATAAGATGCAACTGCTGATTTCTCTTCATTTAGAGAAAATAAAAGTGAGGAAAATCAAACATTATTAGTGTGAAGGATTAAAGAACCATTGAACTTAAGTCTCCCAAGCTAGCTGATGCTGTGATACCACTATGGACCACTCTGAAGGAAATGCCAAATAGAAGGTACCTGGTAAAATGAGAAAAGAACTGTGGACCAAACCCTAAAATTATAAAAATGAAATCAGAGGGTCTCACAACTTGGAGGCTGTTGAGGAAAATAGAAAGATAGGCAGGAATCTCAAAAGACAAGGTAATAGTTCAATGGTGATTAATTTTATAAAACACAATGTATTTTTACATTGTGTATTTTAAACTTTTTAAAAAAAAATCATAAAAATGGCCAAGCTTACTGTGCTAAGAAAGGCATGTGTCAGGGTTGTATCCTCTCTTCATACCTATTTGTGTTCTGTGCAAAGTATTTGAGAAGGTAGACTCTGTGAAGAAGAATGTGGCATCAGGATTGGAGGAAGAGTTGTCAATAACCTGTGCTATGCAGATGACACAACCTTGCTTGCTGAAAGTGAGGAAAACTTGAAGCACTTGCTGCAAGGAGATCAAAGAATACAATCTTCAATATAAGTTTCATCTCAATGTCAAGAAAACAAAAATTGTTACCACTGATGATTTGCAACATCATGAAAGATGAAGAAAAGATTGAAGTTGTCAACAGTATCATCTTACTCAGATTCACAATCAATACACTTGGTCCAGAAGTCAGGAAATCAGGAGATATGTTGCACTGACAAAGTGTATAGTCATGGACCTCTTGGGATTATTGAGAAGCAATGATGTCAGTTTAAGGACTAAGGTGTGTCTGATTGAGGCAATAGTCTTTCTCACCACTAGTTATGCTTCTGAAAGCTGGACAATGAGTTAGGATGACACAAGTAAAGCCTTTGAGCTTTGATGTTGGTAAAGAATGCTGAATATCCTATGAACTGGCAAAAGAACAAATGTGTCTTTGAAAAAATACAGCCAGAGTGCTCCTTGGAGGCAGAGATGCTAAAGCTTCATCTCACATAATTTAGGCATGGAGCTAGAAGAGGCTATTCCTGAGAGAAGGACATCATGCTTGGAAAGGTGGAGGGTTGGCAAAAAGGAGGGAGACCCTTAACCAGATGGATTAACACAATTGGCGGCTGCAGTGGGTTCCAGTGTGTCAGGAAGTGTGAATATGGCACAGGACAGGACAGGGTTCAGATCTGTTGTTCATAGGGTCACTACAGGTTGTACTAGACTCAATGGTGCCAATAACAACAATTGGTCTGATAGAGACTGGCAAATGTGTCAGGAAGTGTGAGTATGGCACAGGACAGGACAGAGTTCAGATCTGTTGGTAATAGGGTCACTATGGGTTATACTAGACTCGATGGTACCAACAACACTTGGTCCGATCAACTGGTAGAACACCCCTGATGGTGGTCCTTATTCGCTTACCAAGCTGGGAACTAAAATTGTTCCACAGCTCACCTTTAGCCAAATAATTGATGGGCTTTTAAGGTGGTTAGTAACGATCAGAAGAATTTGCTCCTCAGATCTATTATTGGCCATACAAGATCAGATGACCGTACAGAAAGTCAGGAAGGGATAAGAAGGAAGGATAAATGGAAATAACAAACACAAAGATGAAATTGAAGAGGGCTGTTACCTTGTGGGGTTACAATCAATATTATGCAACAATGTATATGGACTGTTGACTAGAAAACCAATGTGCTCTATAAACATACACTGAAATTATTATGAAAAGTTTAAAAAAGAAAAAGAAATCTAATAAATCAATTAGAATTACTCTTCAACAGCACAAAAGGCAAAGTCTGTTAGAATGCTTACAGACATGTGCACATAATCTTTTATGAGGAATGTTCTAGCTAAACCTTCCAGTTTTGCTTACATTGCAGTGTTTTCTTCTGCTTTGCTGTGCCCCTTTCTGCTTTCTGAGTTTCAGCCAGGTGGCAGTGGATAAGAAGGAAGACAGTCCTGACAGAGCTTTTTATTAAATAATAATAATAACAACAAATGAGTGAGTCTTTTGTCACTTGGCGTAAAGAGAGATATCATCTGTCATTCAGGCAAGTGTGTTTCGAGAGAGGCAGTGGGATCCTCCTCAGCTTCTCACCTGACCCTGTGAAACAGGATGTGCTTGAACTCTCCCTGCCTGAAGCTAAATGAACACCCTATTAATGTACACAGCACCCCAGGAGAGCTCACCTTCTGCTGATTTTCTTTTCAGCTTCCTTGAAAGAATCGATAGCGTCAGTTTGGTTGACTACACACCCACAGACCAGGTATGTGTAATCCAGAAACTGTGCCACCCACTGAAATGTTTGACATGAGTTATTTCCCATATTGTTCAGTGCTTATTTTTAAAATGAATAAGGTAAATGTTCATAGAGTAACTACTTTCTGCAAATTACATGATGTTTGTCAAGTTCCAGGTGGGCCTCCTCTCCCTTCTTGGTGCTTAAAAATGTGCTTTCTCACTCTAGTTGCTGTCAAACCAGAATTGAGTGATAGCTGACTCTCCACAGAGTCCCTAAGGCTATAAATCACAGGGGAGGAGATTGCCCATCTTCCTTCTGCAGAGTGACTGCTGTATGGAGCACAGCCTTTCAGTTAGTAGCACAATTCCCTCTGGCCTCCGTCTCCAGAGCTCCCTGTGAAATCTACTAGATGTTTGAACTTGCCAACATTGAAAGCTTTCATCTGCAGAAGGCTGTTGTTAGGTGCTTCTCAGGAGGTTTTCACCTCCAGTGAAATGCTGCCTGATCCTGAGCTGTCCCCTTGATTAATTGCAAACTGACCATTGTGGGTTTGAAGTAGGGGATTTCCAGACAAAACCACTAGGCTTTTCTTGTTGGTCTGTCTCAGTCTGGAAATTGCTGAAACCTTTTCATCAAGACAACATGGCTGGAAGCTGGGCATGAAGGACTTTGGCCAGGAATCAAGATGGAGTCTCTTGGACTACTGAACTGCACTGCCCTCTAAGCAGCAAAACATCCAAAACAAAAACAAGCCATAGCATCAAGTTGTGGGAACTTTCCATCAGGCTTCCAAAGCTGTGAATCCTCACAGACATTGCTCATGTTTCTCCCTTGAAGCAGTCAGCAAACTCCAATCACCAGCCTTTCAGTTAGCTGCCCAACACATGTGCCAGTTTGGTTCATTATCCATAGAATCCTCACTCACCACCGCTCAATAGGTGTTCACTGCACACTCACCACATACTGGACACTCACCTCATTGCACACTCAATGCTCACTGCTCACTCACCTGCTTACACACACTCACCTGCTCATGGCATGCTTACTGCCCACCGCACACTCACTGCTCACTGCACATTTATCTGCTCATTGCACACGCACTGATCACTGCTCACTCACTGCTCACTGAACACTCACTGATCACTGCACACTCACCTGGTCACTGCACACTGCACACTCACTGCTCACTGCATACACACCTGCTCACTGCACACTCACCTGCTCACTGCCCACTCACTGCTCACTGCCCACTTCACACTCATTGCTCACTGCTCACTCACCTGATCACTGCACACCTGCTCAGTGCACACTCACTGCTCACTGCATACACACCTGCTCAGTGCACACTCACCTAATCAGTGCACACTCACCTGCTCACTGCACACTCACTGCTCACTACACACTCACCTGCTCACTGCACACTCATTTCACAGCTCACTGGATGTTCACTTCACTGCTCACTGCTTCTGAGTTAGTTTTGACTCAGTCACCCACCTTTGGGTTTCTAAGGTTTTAAGTCCCAACCATGGGAACTGCCTATATTTCTCCCAGGAAGCTGCTGATGGATTAGGACCAATAGAGAAGCACAACCCACTACAGCCTTAGCTACTAGAGCTCCCTTGAATGCCCAATAAACTAAAATAATAATAATAATTCACTGCTGTTGAGTCATACCAACTCATAACTGATCCTCCATTGGATTTTAGAGGCTGTGAACTCTGTGGGTGAAGACTGACCATCTTTCTCCTATGGAGCTGCTGGTGATTCAAACTGTCAGAGAAGTGTGGTTTTTAAACTCCCTAGCTCCAGTGGCCTAGTGGTAAGAAGCTGTTCTGTTCTGCAATCCCTAAGGCACACAGTTTGAATCCACTAGCTGTTTCATGGGAGAAATATGGGCAGTCTCCTCCCATGAGATTACATGCCTCTAAAAACTTGCCGGAGGGGCAGTGATGGGTCGGTTCTAACTAGTACACAACAACAACAATTTACAGAATGTTGTTGTTATGTGCCATCCAGTTGGAAAAAACTCACAGCTGACCTGCAAGCAGGTTTTCAGAGGCAGTAAATCACAAGGGATGAGATAGTCCATATTTTCCCCATGGAGGAGCTGGTGGATTCGAACTACATGCCTTTGGGATTGCAGTGCAGTTTCTTACCACTAGGCCAACAGAGCTCCCTATCTGCAGATTAGTAACGTGCAAGTTTTACAGTTCCTAGGACTGTCAAAATAAAAACTGAACCTTTACTCCTTAGCTTCTCTTGTCTCTATCCTGAGTCATGTTTCATTAGAGTTTACAGGGGTGATTCACTCCCCACCCCCTGTACACCTCATTGCTCTATGCTTTCCTGAAACCTTCAATCCTTGGACCAATACTGAGAGGATGGAGGCTCTTTCATGGAGCCTCCAACTAGTTGTAGAGGTAGTGGATTCCAGGTAAGTCCGAAGAGTCTCCATTCAGATTGGATTCTGTGATACATCCCAAGCATCTATACATCTATGAAAAGGGAGTACTTGAAGTTGGGCACTTCCAGAAGATTCCCTCTCTTAGAGGTCTGAAATCCACTCTCTCCAGGAGGCATCCTCTTCTAGGGTCACAGCTTCCATAGGTCTTGACCCCTTCCTCTTTCCTTGTGCCTAATGGCTGCTTTGTCAACATCAGAGTGATAGGAAACAATCTTGATACAGACGCCCCAGAGATGTCAGCATGGTGACCTGTGTGGTGCTCTTGTCCCCTTACACTTTGCAGTGCTTATTTCACCCCAGTGCCTTCTTTTTTGGAGAGAAGAGTAGCAGCTGGTATCCAGTCCATGAAAACCAAGGTTCATGAGTGTGGAATTGTGTGTCCTTTGGCTTCTTGCCCATTGGGTTTCTGAAGCTACAGGGGAACAGGACCCCTGGCACATGAGGCTCCTCATGTGGGTATTATGAATATAAGTGTTAAATGCATCGTAAATAATAATTATTGTTTCTTTTACAGCTAGGAGAAATGTAATTTTAAAAACTCAGTTCTTTTCAAAATAGCCAGGCCTTTAATCTGGAAAGAGAACAGAGCAGTGATTGGTCTTTTTTCTTACTTTCAGGACCTTCTCCGATGCAGAGTTCTGACATCAGGAATTTTTGAGACACGATTCCAAGTGGACAAAGTGAATTTTCAGTGAGTCTTTGGTTTAAACTGTGACACTCTGGAGGGTGGAAGTTGTGACTGCCTTTGTTGTGACACAGAAGTCACCCCACAGAGCCAGAGTCCTCTGAGCAATCCGAAGTTGGGGTGCTTACTCCCATGATCTGCGCCACTAATGGTCCATCAGCAGTGTGGGTTGCCTTTAATTCTGGAAAGGGTTAAAATGTTGATTTCTGCCACTTACTTTCCACCTAAAGTGAAAACAATAGTCTCACCCTAGATGTAGAATTGCTTGAGCCTTCTGTCAATCAGGAGTTCCAGCAAATTAATTTTTCCAACATTTGGTCTCTGCAATACACAGAAACTGGAAGTAATAGCTTGCTTTTTCTCCCATGGGGTCTTCTAGGTTGATGAAGTACAAATACCAATGAATAACTTACTTTCTTAGTTTGCTTCCCAGAATTAAAAAGTTGGTTTTCCCTCCACAAAGCCCTCTTCACTGTCTGTTCTTTTAACCACCTCACCCACCATTCCTATTACTCTAGCTCCCAGAATTCTTTTTCTCAGACCCTGGTTTCACATCTCCTTATCCATTCATTCCAGTTCATCCTACTCACTTCCCTAAATGAATCTTTCCAAAACATAGCTAAGTGTGTCATTCCTCTGCTGAAAGAGGTCCACTATTGCCTCAGTACACCCAAGTTCCCAGCTTTCCTCCTTATGACCCAGGTTTCCCATCAACCCACTCATCCCCTAAGCCTGCACTCCTCTCATCTCCTAAGCTTGCACCAGCTTTCCATCTGGTGAGGTCCTCCCAGCACAGCTGGCCCCTCTTGCCACTAAATTTGTGCTCATTCACTTCTCCCAGGTCCACATGTCTACCAAAACTTCCTTCAGATCTTTTCCTCAGGGATTTCTTGACATTTCTGTGGTACCTATTATACAACCCAGTGCTTGGTGGCCTACCGTCTCCTGGTTTTTCCACTTTCTTTCTGTCCATTTCAGCTCAGAAGCAGACAGTAAGACCCCTCACAAGAAAGTGTCTTTGGTTTTCTTTTCCTAACAATATTCAATTACTAGCCCCCTCCTCAGATCCCAGGCAGTTCACATCCACTTTTTAATTAATGGAGAACTCACCATACTGCCACTGTGAGCAAGCAGGATGATAGGGAAGCAGGCCAGCTAAGTCTGTACACTGTAATGAACTGTGGAGTTCATATGGTGCTTGCTTTTACTCACATTAGGACAAAATCCCTGGCATAGTATGATTACTAACAATGCATTTTGCTCTGCTGTTGTGCTTTTATTGAAAACATATCTTCCTAGTCATCTCTTAACTTTTCACAAGGCACCACCTATGTGTCCTGCATGTACTCATATAAAGCATGCAAGTAAAGATGTGGTGGGATTGTCGGTGTGTACAGCTGAGATAATGAAATGCATACTGGGTGTTCTGAAGGCACATGCAGTAAACTTAGGGACTGAATCAATGAAATAGAAGGTAGAAAGACCAGGCAGAAATTGTGTGCGTGCAGAGAACTACCCTATTAAGGGAACATGGCTAGCAAAGAGGCTCCGTGAGCCTAGAGCTTGAGGAAGGATTCAGGGGCCAGGCTGTGCACTCCGGAAAAGTCCTTGAGTGTACCAACTTAGAGCCAGGACAGAAAGTCATAGAGCCCCTGCCAGTTCTCTGAACAAGTATGTGTCAGAAACACCAGTGCAGCAGCTACTTAGGAGCTTTCTTGCTAATTCCTTAAGAGACAAGTATGACAATGCCAGTGAATTATAACTAATATCTTGGGACTAGAGCACTCCTTAAGAGGGACCTATCCTAGGTAAGAATTTTACATGTACTCAGAGAAGTTTAAACTAATAACATTTATTCCATGCCTACCATATAACATATAGCAGCTGATGTATGCACTGTCTCCAATCTGTTAGATAAACCCCAAGGCTGGCAGATACTGAGTAACTGGTAACTCCAGTTCCCACCATATGGTTCTTGTCCAGACTGGAAATTGTGGTCCAGGTCAGCCCCATATCTGTCTGTGAATGGGTGGAGACTTTTGACAGCAAAGCAGAAAAGAAAAAAAGTGTGTAGCTGCTCCCTGGTTTCCTCAGATTAACAACTTTTCCATTATCCTCCAGCATGTTTGATGTTGGTGGTCAGCGGGATGAGAGAAGAAAGTGGATCCAGTGTTTCAATGGTGAGTCAGCTCTCGGAAGGTGGGTAGTTCTGGTCCTCCCTATCACTTCTATGCTTATGGTTTCTTGAATGAGATGCACTCCCGTTGAATTAGCATGTAAAATGTGGCATTGTACAGCAAGTTAGTATGCTCCTGCTTGCCATGTTAATCTCATAAACAAGGGAATTGAGCATCCAAGGTTCACATTAATTCTTAGCTAATCTATGTGACCCCCTCATCACGTATGTTCCTAAACAACGCAATGATAGATGCCATGCTTATTTGAGTCACTCTCACAAACACTGGAAGGTCATTTGGAAGAACCGTGAGAATGCTATGTTAGGGGCTCCAATTATAAGTGGTATTCCATGGAAAAGGAGTAGTTGTTGAGTAGGTCCTCTGTCACAGTCCCACAGTGAATAGCTTTGTTTAACTGAGGTGTATCTTTTGTCTGTTGGCTTCACTCAGATGTCACTGCCATCATCTATGTCGCAGCCTGCAGTAGCTACAACATGGTGATTCGGGAAGACAACAACACCAACAGGCTGAGAGAGTCCCTGGACCTTTTTGAGAGCATCTGGAACAACAGGTTATACAAATAACACTTTCATTGTCATTATTGAGTTACCAGTTTCTTTTATTAAAAATACAAATCAGTTCACAGTTGCTTTCCTTACTGGCAAAACCCAGGCTACAGGAGGCAATTCAGATGGAGAGACATCCTTAGAAAAGGACACTTCTAGTGATAGTGTCCTCTGCTGAGAATATTTACATCTTTATTTTGAAAGTCTGAGGATTAAAAATTTATTTTATTTGATTCTTAAAATTTAGAAAATGCTAGTTTAAAACATCCACTACTAGCAAGTTTGGGAGCACTGGTGGCATATTGGTAAGAGCTGCACAATAATCCCAAAGGCATACAATTCGAGCCTACCAGCAGCTCCATGGGAGGACAGGTAGTCTCTTCCTGTGCAATTTGCTGCTTCTAAAAACCCGCGAGAGGGTCAGCTATGTGTCAGTTCTGACTTGACAGCACACAACAACAATAGCAAGATGATCTCTTATGGTGCCCTTAAAATTCAATCATAATCATGTTTGAAACTGCTTATATTGAAAAGTGTCATCTTCATAACGCAGATTGTTGATAGATCTTCCACCAATCCTGACCCCACATTTCTCTTCATAGAGCCCAGCCTCCCGGCAATCACTTGTTATGCATCAGAGAGTTGGACAATGACTAGGGAGGATAGAAGGAGAATTGATGCCTTTGAGCTGTGGTGCTGGAGAAGAGTATTGAGGGTATTATGGACTGATAGGAAAACAAACAGATTCATCCTGGAGAGGGCTAAACCGGGCAGCTCCTTGGAGGCAAGGATTCCGAGGCTTTGTTTAACATACTTTGGACATGTTGTAAGGAGGGACCGGTCCTTGGAGAGGGACATCATGCTTGGTAGGGTGGAAGGACAGTGCAGGAGGGCAAGACCCTCTATGAGGTGGATTGATTCAGTGACTGGGGTAATCAGGATGGGTGTACTGGAGACAGTGTGATAGGCACAGGACAGAGCAGAGTTTAGGGCTATTGTACATAGGGTCACTATGAGTCACAAGTGACTTGACGGCACATAACAGCAACAGAAACAACATATTGAAAAGTAGTAAGGAAGTGACTCAGAAAGGAATATCTATCAAAACACATATCCATACAGTACATTGTTGTTGTTGTTGTTGTTGTTGTTGTTATGTGCCGTCGAGTCGTTTGCGACTCATAGCGACCCTACGCACAACAGCCCTAAACCCTGCTCTATCCTGCGCCAACCGCACTGCCTCTGACACACCCATCCCGATTACCCCAGTCACCAAATCAATCCATCTCATAGAGGGTCTTCCCCTCCTGCACTGTCCCTCCACCATCCCAAGCATGATGTCCCTCTCCAAGGACCCATCCCTCCTGGCAACATGTCCAAAGTATGTCAGACGAAGCCCCAGAATCCTTGCCTCCAAGAAGTAGCTTGGTTTAATCCTCTCCAAGATGAATCTGTTTGTTTTCCTGGCAGTCCATGGTACATTCAGTACCCTTCTCCAGCACCACAGCTCAAAGGCATCAACTCTCCTTCTGTCCTCCCTAGTCATTGTCCAACTCTCTGATGCATAACAAGCGATTGCAAAGACCATGGCCTGTATCAAGCGCACCTTAGTCTCCAGAGAGACACCGTTGCTCCTGAGTACTTTAGAGAGGTCCCTAACAGCAGACTTTCCCATCGTGATACGCTTTTTGATTTCCTGACTGCTGGTGCCAAGAGTGTTGACTGTGGAGCCGAGCAAACTGAAGCTGTGAACAATCTCAATCTCTTTGCCATCCATCCTGATGCTGCCAATTGGTCCAGTGGTGAGAATCTTTGTCTTCTTGACATTGAGCCTCAGTCCATACTGAAGGCTGCAGTCCTTGACCCTCCACAGCAAGTGCATGAGGTCCTCCTCAGTTTCAGCAAGCAGGGTTGTGTCATCTGCATAACGCAGATTGTTAATAGATCTTCCACCAATCCTGCTACCACAATTCTCCTCATAGAGCCCAGCCTCCCGGATAATCTGTTCTGCATACATGCATACCTAGCTAAAAATAAGCCTGTTTCCCCCTGAAACATTTAGAAGAAAATATCAACAACAGATTAGATTAAATAAACATAAATTGACCTTGTAAAATGGTTGGATAATCAGTAAAATTATTTCTCTATCAAATCTTTACTAACTCCTCTCTATTTGCCACACTGGGCTTTAGTGTATCAGGAAGTATGAGGATAGTACAGAATGGGATAAGGTTCTGATTTGTTGTTCATAGGGTCTCTGTGGGTTATATGCTACTTGACAGCACCTAACCACAACCGCCTCTCAATTTTATAGTGTGGAAGTGGTTAATGGAAAAGAAAAAAGAGCAGTAGAAATAATGCATAGTAGATAAACAGAAAAATTCAGTGGAATCATTAGAAATTTATAGAGAGAACTTACAGAAAGTAGGATTGCCCCATACAGTTCTTAAGGCTGTTTGTAAATCTGTAGAGTGTAAATTACACATTGCTTTGGACATGTTGCTAGGAGAGGCTATTCCTTGGAGAGTGATATCATGCTTGGAAAGGTGGAGGAAGGGTCAGCAAAAAAGAAGTAGACCTTCAATGAGATGGATTGACACCGTAACTACAGCAATGGGCTCAAGTGTATCAGAGATGATGAGGATGGCACAGGATAGGACAGGGCTCAGGTCTGTTGTTCACTGGGTCACCATGAGTAGTCTCAACTTGATGGCACCTAACAACAACAAATTACATTAGGTTTTCCCCCCAATGTTTTTCTAGGATTTAATAGTCATTATTATAAGAATTATACATGTTATAATGAAACAGAAGAGATGCACTATTTCTATTTATGTTAAGATCCCTGCATCCTATCCATTAGCTTGTTTCCTTTGAAGTAATTTTCAAAAGCTTTGTTGATTTGCACAGTTAAACAAGTTGCAAGCCAAGGCTTACCTACTATTTACATCTCTGTGTGTGTGTGTGTGTGTGTGTGTGTGTGTGTGTGTGTGTGTGTTGTGCACTGATGAGTCAGAACCAACCGATAGCTGACCCTCTTGTAGGTTTTCAGAGGTAGTTAATCATACAGGAGGAGATTGCCCATCCTTCTCCTATGAAGCAGCTGGTGGCTCTAAAACATATGACTTTGCAGTGCAGCTTCTTGCCACTAGTCCATCCATGTATGAACATGGCAGGAAAAGACAGAAACCTGAGTTTCACTTCACTCCGCATGTTTGTTGTGGGAAGTAGAGTGAATCTTGCTCTGGTGCACATAGTCTCTGATCTGGAGGTTCTTAGACTAGAGTGAAAAGGACCTGTTCAGAGGAAGTCAGGGAGGAGGAAGAGGAATCAAGCCCGTTACACATTCAATTATTTGTGAATGGCGGAGGCATCAGTTATTTTATTAACTCCTTCTCTTTTTCTAGATTAAATTCTCTGAGCCTTTCACATAAACAAAAAAAGTCCCAGTGTATTTATTATATGTGAAATCTTAGTTTTGATACCACTGTATCAATGTATTTATGTCCCCGGCATAATTGAATTAGAAACTGCTAAATTAACTCAGATTTATTTGTTTATTATTATAAGACACAAGGGACTGGAGGATTGAAACATAGGTCAAACACTTTTAGCATGTGTGTATTTTCAAGGAGAGAGCAATATTCTTTCTTCTTTTAACGTAGTGACTCCCCTAGTAGAGGAACCTGGACATCGCCATACATGTGGAATATGTGTTTGCTTCCCCTTTTCAGGTGGCTACGGACCATTTCCATCATCTTGTTCTTGAACAAGCAAGACATGCTGGCAGAAAAAGTCTTGGCAGGCAAATCAAAAATTGAAGATTATTTCCCAGAGTATGCAAACTATACTGTTCCTGAAGACGGTAAGATCTCCAAACATGTTTTTTCTGAATTAAGCAATAAAAAGTATGTTGTCATTTTTTAATAGTCCTGTTGAAAATGTGTGTGTGTGTGTGTGTGTGTGTATATGAAATACTTATTCCTCTGACTATAATTTAGAGAGTTCTGATGAGTCCAAAGACTTAATTTCCTTTAAATCAGCATTTTCTCTGGGTCCTTCTCTCTCTGGTGATGCCATCTCTATGATGTCATCCATAGATGATAGTGAGTTGCTAACCCGAAGGTGATTCAAATCCACCAGAGACTCTATAGAAGAAGGATGGGCGATGACTGAAGGATTAACTAGAAGTTGGAACCCACTCAATGGCAATAAGGTTTATTCTAAAATGCTAAAGTTTTAAGAAGTCCTACTTAAGATATCTAAATTTGTCTGACAGGAATGGGCTGCATATTTCTATAATGCTGGAGGCTCTGCCACCAGTATTTCAAACAGCTACCCAGGGTAGATAAATTTCAGGAGAGAGTCAAGATGAAGACATCCTAGCTAGGAGGCAGAACTGGCCAGCCACTTCTTTTTTTCCCCCTATAATTATATTTTATTAATTTTCATAAACATTTACAGAGATTTTGCGTTTCCATTCATTCATTGTT